TGTAGAGTGCTCCGGGGGGGGGGGGGGCAAAAACAAGAAAAAAAATGGCCGTGTTCTTCGCGAAAACTGGCTCATATTTTGTCCAAAAAAAAGGGCATGGATAGATTTTAGGAAGTTTATAGAGTGTTGCTGGGGGCTGGAAAAACACCCTGTTTTCTGCTCATTTCTGCCCTCCCCAACCCCCAGGAACTCTCTGAAAGCCGCCTACAAGCTATACATGGACATTTTGGTGAAGGGGGCAGGGTTTGGAGGCAAAAAATGCTGTATTCATTGTATAAGATGCACCCAGATTTTCAGCCTCTTTTTTGAGGAAAAAAGATGCGTCTTATATTCTGAAAAATATGGTACATTATGTAGTTCCAAGCACCAAGCACATTGTCAGCTTCTAACGAAGTGTCCTAAGGGTCATGTTTAGATTTTTATGCATCAATCTTGGATGAAGTGGTCAATCATCCTTCCCTGTTTGCAAGCTGAAAATTTCTTCAACCCTAACATTGCATTTCACAGAAAACTTTAATATATTGCTGGGGGTTTTGGTACTCATTAGATTTGTTTATCCTGTAAACCTTCATAGTGTAATGGGTCCCTATATCCCTACCTGAGACAGAAAATCTTTAATTAGAATGAGTGGTGACTGGCATTATTTCCCTTACTTATGACAGGTAGCTGCATTGATGTAAAACATAGTTCTGTTATTCTCATTCTGTTATTGCTTGCTATTGTGTCTAAGGGTATTCTTCATTTAGACCAGCAATAGAAAATAACCTTTATTTGTTAGAGTTTAAAAAGCTGTATCATTGATCAGTCTACTTATTTCCATCAGTGACTCATTTCTTCTGCTCTGCTACTGTTTAATTTTTAAATAATGATAAATTAGTTGGAGATAAGTTCAATATATACTTTTAGTCTTTATTCATAGTATAGCGAGGTAGCTGCATCTAGCAATAAGTAGACAATATCTCTTTTGTAAACAATTTTTGGGTAGCAGTCATTTTGTCAATGCTATTTTAATAATGTAGTAAACATACCTTTAGTTATTTACAGAGCATTTTTCTCTCTCACAATCCATATTCTTTTTTTAATGATGTGTTTTATAGTTGGAGGAAATATGGACTGGAAGCAGATTGCAAGTATTCAAGAATCTATTGGAGAAACTAGTTCACAAAGTGTTGTTGTTGCTGTAGACAGGTAATTTATCCAGTATCAGAACTTGCTATCTAGAAAATAGTATTCTTTGTTCATTAGTACAAGTGGTAGCGTAGTCATTTTATAAAGCACTGTAAAAAAATTAAAAGAAAAAGAAAACTAAACCATTTGGGTGGTTTACGTATGTGTTTGCATGCTTATGAGAGTGATGAAATGAAAATGTTCTTATCTCTTCATGTTTCTTTTAACTCCACACATATTTTCAGAGGTAGAAATTGTAATATTCTCTTCATATTTACTGGTAAAATTCTTTTGTAACCTAATTTGTACTAAAGAAAACATGTCACAAAAATTATTACGCAATTTTGTTTTATTTGCAGAATATTTACAGGATCTACCAGACTAGATGGAAATGCTATTGGTAAGCATTAGTTTAGATATGGTGTAACATAAATCTGTAATAAAGAATGAATTAATTGACATTTTGGAAATAATAATAATAAGTAGATTGTGTTTGGATTTAACAGTGGATTTTGTCAGATGGCTTTGTGCTGTTTCTATGGATGAATTGTTGTCGGCAACCCATCCCCGGATGTTCAGTTTACAAAAAATAGTAGAGATTTCTTACTATAACATGGGACGAATAAGGCTACAGTGGTCTAGAATATGGGAAGTTATTGGAGATCATTTCAATAAGGTATGTCAGAGTATATTATTTGTATTCTTATTTTTGTTACCTTTTTATTAATCCTCACATCCAACAAATATAACCAAAAATAAAGATAACCAGGAAATATAAATAATCAAAACATACTATCTTCATAAGAGTCTATCCACACTAGTAGTCCCCAGAGCCCACTGGAACAGAAAGATGTTTAGTGTCCCATAAGAGCTAAGCAGAGTTGAAGGCTCCACACCTCAGGAAAATTATTTCTATGACATGGGCTTGCCATCAAAAAAGAGCACCCACCCTCCTCAATTCATACAGGGTACAGACCTTCAGTATTATGCTATACCTGTACCTCTCAAATTGGGACAGACAACTTTATATATATGAAAACAAACACTTTCAGTTGGGCCTAGAATCATATTGGCAATCAGTGTGCTAAGTGTTACATCCATATTATGCTAACCCTTCCTGCCCCTTAGGGCAGGATGTGAGTTTTCTGCATTGTGAACTGTGATTACATACTGAAGTTTTAGACAGCAATAATATTCTACTAAATATTGTTGCTGGAAAGAAACACCAACGTTTGATATTTTAAATAATTTTGTAGTGTTTTTGTCAAATGTAGATTTAATATATAGGTTGCTTTTCTTGTAGTAGGCTGTTTTCTTTTTTTTTTATAGATAACGTATTTTATTGTGCTAATTTGGCTTTGCTAGGTTGGCTGTAATCTCAATGAAGATGTAGCTATTTTTGCCGTTGATTCCTTAAGGCAATTATCAATGAAGTTCTTAGAAAAAGGGGAACTTGCTAATTTCCGATTCCAAAAGGATTTCTTAAGACCATTTGAACACATCATGAAGAGAAATAGGTATTTAAAATCATTCTGTAATCTAAACACAAAGAATGAATCAATCCTCCCCTTTTTTGTTATATTGTTATAATTCTTGATGTATTTATTTCAATATCTTGTACAGTATTAATTTAAGATATTTATATTAGAGGCATACTTGACCTTTTCATACAAAAAAAGAAAAAACATGTTGCAGATTACATCAAAGTATTACAATTAAGTCACTTTTAACCAGTAAATTTATTTATTTGTGAAATTCCTTTTAGATCACCAACCATTCGTGACATGGTTGTCCGTTGCATAGCCCAGATGGTCAATTCCCAAGCAGCAAATATACGATCAGGCTGGAAGAACATTTTCTCAGTTTTTCATTTGGCTGCATCTGATCAGGACGAAAGTATAGTGGAACTGGCATTTCAGACTACCGGCCACATTGTCAGTGAGTACTAATTATATTTATAGAATACTCCCAAGAAGTATAATATTTTGTCCCTAGAAACTGCGACACCGTGGCTTCTTCCACTGCCTTAGGCACAAAGCTCCTTGGAACAATCATTTTTTCCTCATCCCTAGGAAGGAGGCAGTGGCAAACCATTTCCAAAATGTATTTATTTATTAGATTTTTATCCTGTCTTGATTACTTTATAAGTAACTCAAGGCAAAGAATATATATAATACTCCTTTCTGCTCCTCTTTTTCCCCACAATAATCCTGTGAGATGGGATGGGCTGAGGTCTTGCTAAGAACATTGCAGACTTTCCAGACTTTCTTAGCTAAGAGTCAATGCTGAATCAAAGGCACAATAATACATTTTAGTTTTAGGGGAACTTAAAAATAATAGTTATGTTTATTGATATTTGATTTCTTATGTTTATCTTAAATGCTATCAATATTTTATTATTTTGCTGTAGTAGGATTTATATCTTGCTTTAAAAAATATCTTGCTTTAAAAAACCTTTTCAAACTTTTTGCATATTCTTTCTTTTAGCAATTGTGTTTGAAAAACATTTCCCAGCAACCATAGATTCCTTCCAGGATGCAGTGAAATGCTTGTCTGAATTTGCATGTAATGCAGCTTTTCCTGATACTAGTATGGAAGCTATTCGCCTTATTCGTCATTGTGCAAAATATGTATCCGAAAGACCTCAGGTACAGTTTATTCTGTGTCAGAATATTGTTACATGTGTCAGGTGATGATTATATTCTGTACTGAAAACTAAATGTCAGCAGGCTATAAGATGGCATGTGTGTTTGAATCCTCTCTGAAATAATAAAATCTATTTTGAAAACTTTCATTGCATAAACTTCTATTTTTTTTTCTTAATTTATTAGTCTGGTCCATCATACTTCTATGTTTAGAAATGGACTTCTTGTGTGTAAAGTTTGGACCATGTATTTCCATATAGAAATGCTACAACTAAAGAGAACTAATGTTACAAACTTGTCTTTACTTTTAAAGGCTTTCAGAGAATATACTAGTGATGACATGAATGTCGCTCCAGAAGACAGGGTGTGGGTGAGAGGCTGGTTTCCAATTCTCTTTGAGCTGTCCTGTATTATCAATAGATGCAAATTAGATGTAAGAACCAGGTAACAATCCATATTTGTCATTCAATGTCATAAAGTATATATTTTAGTTGTACACTCCTGGAAAGTGCTAGATGAGAGATATTATTATTGCCACATTATTTATAACTAATCTGACTGTCAGCAAGAGACTACATCTTGCAAAGAAACAAAATAATGGGAAAAATAAATAAAATAAAAATAATAGTTCATGTATTTGCTTTAAAGACATTGTTACTTTAGTAAACTGTTGGAACTCTATTGAATATTGGTCTGGGGCAGAGAGAGTGAGAGAGAGAGGGAGGTGTGAAATGTGTGGGTGAGAATGTAGTGTTTACTGTGACTATGATATGTGGGTGTGGCTGTCTAGTTGTTTATATTAAAAAGTCAGGCTTATCTTTATATTAAAATCTAAACCTAATCATGCAACTCTAAAATTAGAGTTGATAGCAGACAACACATTGAACAAGATAATATAGTCAGACTGCCAGAGAATCATTAAGGTGAACGTCATAATTTAATCTAAAAAGCTAAATTTCTGAAGCAGCATGTTCTCATGCATGTGGCATTTAAGCAGCAATGTAAGCAAATGAAACCAAAATATAAGTAGCACATTACGAAGTGGACAGTAATTGAGATTTGAAAAATCCACTACTAAAACTTAATCAATCCATCATTATAAACTTCCATTCTCTTTCCGATTCCCTTTGTACATAATATTTTGGAATAGAAATGTTGCCAACTCAGCAATAACCTATGTGAGGTGAAAGAATAGATCAAATTCTCAACATTATGTGTCCACATAGAAAATTACAGTTGACTAAGACAAAGTTATATGCATCCAAATTCATAAGCAGTATATATAATAAATCACTTTACAGTCTGGTAATTATGACAGAAAAAATGCTTCTGTCAGGCTTTTAAGTTTTTCAGCTTCTTTTTTGTAATTGTTGTTTCTAGAAGGTTACATAGAGATATTTACAGGTAGTCCTTGATTTATGGCTGTAAAATATTACCCATAAGGTATTACCCATAAGGTATTTGCCTATCTATTCTGAGTGTATCAGTTTATGTGTAATAATAGTTTAAAAGTAAGAGCTGAAAGATCTAGTTGGTAATTGTTTCTTATACTCATTTTTATTTCAGAGGTTTAACAGTTATGTTTGAAATAATGAAAACATACGGTCACACATATGAAAAGCATTGGTGGCAGGATTTGTTTCGGATAGTCTTCCGAATATTTGACAATATGAAGTTACCAGAACAGCAAACAGAGGTAAAAATAACATGAGAGCAGTTCATTTTTTTACTACTACTACACCTTTATGTTCATATTGCATTTTATACCCATAAGCTGAGAAAGAAACTGTCTATATGATATCCATTTTTAAATTCTACTTCCTGCTATCTTTATTGGTATGCTTTATATAAAGCTCTTTTCTGCAATATGAACGATTTTGAGTATGTAGTCATGTGCTAAAACTTTTTTATAGATTAAATTGTTATAGGAATTATAACATTCTTTCTACATTATGTTTAATCCTTGTGCAATTCCTGTTTTCTTCTGTTATGATTAGTTACTCCTGCAACCAACTTAGATATTTTTAAGAATATCAGGCAAAAGGAATCACCAGGATCTTTTAGCATCAGAAGACTTTAAAAGGAAGTTAATAAGGGCCGGTGGTGAAGAGGTGTTAGGCCATGTCAGTTAAAAATTGACTAAAGTGTTCAGTTGGAATTCGATAAAAATGATATTTTGAAGAGATATTTAAAATGCCCTCCTGATTAATTTCATAAACATAGTATGGTATTTTACAACAGGATGCTTATTATTTGGCAAAACTTCCATATGTAACTGTCTTTTGTAATAGCTAGGCATTTAATAGAAATTATAATTTACATTAAGTTAAAATTAAAATTTGAACATGTACTAGCAAAATTATCTCTATGTGAGGTTGATCATTCCAATGAAGTTTGAAGCTTCATAACTGTTTATGGGGGTTTTTTTGAGCCAAAAATATCCTATATATTTGAAAATACTAAATGGCTCACAGTTCCCGCTTGGTCTACCAATTTAACAACAAAGTTGCTGTGATGGTGTTGAATAAAATTTTCACCCTTGGGTTCAGAGTGCTTCATTGCTTTGCATACTTTAGTTGATATCTAATAACCCAAAATATATTAAATTATTCATATGAATAATTAGCACATTTTCAAAGAAAATTTAATTACAAAGAGACAAGTGAAAAACATTTTTATAGTTCTTTGGAGATAGTGACCTAAAATCAGTGGTTAAAAATGTAAAAGGAATCTGCCTTGCTCTCATAATTTCCTTTGTGTTGCTGTTATATTACTCCTTCTTTAACATCTTCTCAGCAGCCTGTTTAGGCTTCTATTACAGAATTGTTTTTTTTTTAATATCCGCCAAGCTTTCTGAAGGACTTTGATGCTTCTGGCTGCTGTTCAGTTTAATTAATACAATTATTATTGAGAAGGTCTCTTTGCTTTTTTCTCTAGAAAGCGGAGTGGATGACAACAACTTGCAATCATGCACTTTATGCAATTTGTGATGTATTCACACAGTATTTAGAAGTACTTAGTGATGTTCTTTTGGATGATATATTTGCTCAGCTGTACTGGTGTGTTCAGCAAGGTAAGATTGCATCAATTTGTTACAGACAATGCTTGCAATTTATTCTGTAATATATGAACAAGCTAATGCCTTGTTTGCATTTCAGACAATGAGCAACTAGCACGGTCTGGTACAAACTGTTTAGAGAATGTTGTCATTCTGAATGGGGAAAAGTTTACCCTTGAAATCTGGGATAAGACTTGCAACTGTATGTTGGATATCTTCAAAACCACTATTCCCCATGCGTAAGATATTTTTCCTTTTGTAAATATTTGGGAGCAAGTCTGCAAACAAATTCATATGTATGAAATATTGAACATGCATTAGCTATGCTTGCCTTGATATAATGAACATGTGTGTATTTGTTTTATGTGACATCTATTTAGCTATATTGGGTTTAGTCACACATAAGAATCTTGGAATTCTTATCTCTATCTGTCAGATCCTTAACTAATTCATGCTCGGAGCAGCTCTAATCCCTCACCTGCTTATTATTATTATTTAAATAATAGAGTGAGATGTTTGGACTTCTCTTCTGCTTTTCCTTAGTCATCTGAACTGAATTTGTTCAGATGTGTTTAGTGATTACTGACCTTGTATAACATTGTTGCCTAATAAACTAATTAAGTCCTTTCATTCCTAAACAGCTTCTACTAATTGGGGACCATTAAAATAACATTTCTAAATCTAATGGTCATGCTTTTTTCCTCCTTTGCTAAAAGAAATTGTAAATTAAATAAAAGAGGTGACAACATAAGAAAATATGGTGTATTTATTTATAACCCAGGAAGGGTTTTTTAAACCATTTTTGGGCTTATTTTTGTTGAGAACACTATTACAGATTTGTAATTGTTTTTATCTTAAAACATTGAAATATTTCTGTTTTAGAATTAAAGAAAGTTCTTTTCTCTTTTCAAGGCTTTTAACTTGGCGACCAGTGGGAGGAGATACTGTTCCTCTATCTCCATCTTCTGGAAGAGAGAAACAGCTGGTATGTTTGAAAATAAAAATGTCAGGGAAAATATTTTGGAATACTCCTTTTTGTCTTTACAGGTAATCCCCGGGTCACGAGCATTCCCTTAGAGAATGTTTGAAGTTAAGCAATCAGCACCCCTAGCATTTCTGAACAAGGCCCAAAACTATGAATCTTGCAACACCCCGGCAGTTGCTCGTCCTTACGAACAACTGCAGACTCTGCAACATTTTTCTTTTACATTGCTGGCCAAAATAGAGCTTCTGAGAGCCGGATCTGCCCCCAGAAGCCCTGTTCAACTGTCCAGAGGCCTTGCCCGGCAACCTGCTGACCGAAATGGAGCCTCTGAGCGGTGGATCCTGCCCTCCAAGGCTCCGTTCGGCTCTCCACGGGCCTCTCCCCACCCATTACATGTTGAAATGTAGCTTTCAGGGGCCGGATCTGGCCTCCGGAATCTCCATTTCACCCTGCAACAGGCCAGGGGATGCCTGCATAAGGCCAACGGAGCACATGAGACTGGAGAGGAGACTGCTTTCTAGATCTTCACAAGTTAAGTGACCCAGCGCAGCCGTTTGTGGGGGGGGGGGATAAGCAATTTGGGCCAGCATGAGGTATTTCACTGGGTCAGGGAGGCCTTGAGTGGTCTTAGACAGGTGGCCTGTTCCATTGGTAGACCTCACCATGGCCTTCCCTACCCTGAAATACGTCATGTGCACTTAACGAGCCTCGCATTCTATTACTGAATGCGTGAACAAAAGGAGGGAATGATCTTGATCAAGATACAAGATTCATAAATCCTCGGGTTACGAATGGAATAGGCAGGCTTCATTACCTTTGTAACTCAAGGACTACCTGTATTTAAAAGTAATGATGGAAAAGATCACAAGTTGGGATACCACATCATACAGAATAAAGAGAGAAATGTAGCATTGTATGTTCTATGTGACATAGATTTCATGTACACCTAAAAGAAGAAAATCATCTCTATCTCCAACTGTGAGATGAATGTCATATAAATTTAATAAATACATTTACCAGGTTAGAAGACAAGTTAGTCCTTTACAGTATTATGCCAACTATGTCATGTCATTGTAAATAAATCAAAACTGAAATTATATTGCTTAATTTCCATGCAATTAACCTATTAACTTAGATCCTTTTTGTTCCCTAAAATAGGCTTATCATTATTTATTTATAGGTTGTTGTAAAAATTCTCAATTCCAGAAAATTTTCCCCCTTTCTCTTTTCCCCACTGTACACATTTCACGGGTGTCTTACGTTTACCTGACTACTCTGATCTTCCAGAGCTGAGTTGAAATCTGTACAAATGGAAGGGCCAAAAGGATTTGTTCAATTAGTACTTGTTTCTTTGGTAAACGGAAAATAAATATATTTTGCCTATATTATAATTAAATATACAATAGTACATTTCATAGTGTTCTGTACTTACCACAGAGGTGTCAAACTCGATTTCATTGAGGGCCACATCCAGGTTGTGTTTTACCTTGGGGGACCAGGGTGGGTGTGGCCAGCTCGACTTTACTTGTGTTGGGGGTGCCTGTGGTGGTCCGAGTGCTCTGGCAGCAAAAATGGGCTCCGATCTCCGTTTTGGTTGCGACAGCCTCCTGTAACCGTCTGCCAGCAAAATGGAGCTCAAGAGGCTGCACGCAGCCCTCCCGAGCTCCGTTTTCGTTGGCAGAGGCATTGCAGGTCAGTCCATTGCTTCTCCAGGGCAGCCCCACAGGTCAGATCTAAGCACCCCGCGGGCCGGATCCGACCACTGTGCCTTGAGTTTGACACCCCTGACTTACCAGATGAATGAACCAAAAATCCTACTTCAAAGCAAATTCACTTTGTTGTATTAAAGTGCTCCTAAGAAGTTTATTTGTTTGCCAAATCCATATGAGATAATTTTTATCTTTTATTTCCAGGATGCCATATCACAAAAATCTGTAGATATTCATGATTCTGTGCAACCAAAACCGTTAGATAGACGCCAGTTTCAACCTATTGTAGGGTTGCCTGCAAATGAGGAGGTCAGCAAAAACAAACCTATAGCAAGTAAGAAGAAATGTTTATAAATACTTGTTTGATAATCTGCATTTGTTTCTATGTTTGTTTTTCCTTCTGACAGGTTACTGTTTGTGTGAGAAATAACACTTGAAATTCTATAAGCATTGAGAATGAATATTACAAAAAGAGTTTGGCTTACTTCGGGCCTACTCTTATTTTAAATGCCTCAGTAACCTAATTGCTAAGATTCCTGAAAATTAAGAAAAGATTCTCACCTGTGATGATCTTTACATTTCTAATTGTGGGTGTATATTCTTTCTGGTGTTTATGATTGCTTCCCACTTTCAAGTTTTTAGAAAAAACACTAAAATAAAAATTTCCTGTCTTCTAAGTTCTTTTCAGTGGGCTATTGTTTTCAATCTTTTCTACATTTTTATATTGCTTTAAAAGTTTCTGAAAAAAAAGATCATATAACAACAATGTTAAAAGTAATACAGCGCACTTTCATATGAATTTGGAATGACACTGAAGCCATTCAGTTTTACAATGACAACTACATGTAGAAAGTTGAGTTGATTTATTGCTGGGTGAACTGTAGCATAATTAAAATCACAGCAATACACACTGTGTATGTTTCTTTTTCCTAGAATCACTGCAATTCTGCAGAAATTATAAACCATTTGTTCACCTTTGGGTAGGAACTCTTACCACCCTACACTCCCATATTTCATCATAAAGCTGCCATGGTATTATTTTCAACATTTTAAGGTTGGCAGAAGACAGTTATGTGCTGGAGAGTAGAAACTATGGTATGGAAGTGACCTACAATAAATATTCCAAACTTCTCTCAGCACCTTTTGCATCTGGGCCATGCTTATTTAAAATGACAATATACACTCATTCCCCAAAAGAATGTTACACATTTAAATGACAAATTTTTAAACTTTATTCAAGATATTTTAGTATTAATCTATTTTTGAATTTAAATTTTCAGCTGAAATTTAACACAATTCAGTTTGTACAGCTTTGAAGTTTAATTAATACATTTCTATGATATTTGTATTAAAGATACAGATGGACAATGCTGTATTTAACTCTTCAGAAATTATTGGATTGCATTTCACTAATCTTTCATTACCTTTTGTGGCTAGGGCTTCTGTGTGTTTGTGTTCAACAACACTTAAAGTCTTTATATTGATTATCATTAATTTTACAAGTACCTGTAGATATTTTATATATGTAATTTAGGGCAATACATTTGACAATTGTATTAATGTATATTCAATGCAAATAATTTGGCAGACAGTAGAAAGTTTCTAACAAACATAGATCATTAGTGGTTTGCATGATTCTTTCATTTACCAAATTTATTTTACTTTTTTCTTGTTTTAAAAGAATTTCCAGATCAGAAACTGTTTGGTGCGCTGTTAATCAAATGTGTGGTACAGCTGGAACTTATTCAAACAATAGACAACATTGTATTTTTCCCAGCAACTAGCAAAAAAGAAGATGCAGAGAATCTAGCTGCAGCACAGGTAAGGAGAGTCCACTAGTATGCATATTCTTATAAGTGTTTTCTTCTTCCAGTTTTGAGCCAAATGTTCTGTTTCATAAAGGTTGTAATTTCTGGAGGAAAAGTCCTAGATTTCTAAACATTTCAATTAATATCCAGAATAAACTACGATAACAGAAAAATTGGGCCTGCATCATAACATCCTTTTGTAATTGAGTGCCAGAGTTTAGATGCAAGTATGTCAGATTTGGTCTACATGTGCCTTTCTCTTAAATAATGTGGGAGACAAAGGTACAGATTTTTAGGATAAAGCATATATTTTGCCTCATCACTGTGGCTTCATAAGATAATGGCTGCTCCTGAAGGATGCTGTTTTCTTGTCTTTTGGATATGGGCAATCATTAAATAACATAGTTTAGAATTCATATAGAGCAGACTTGTATAGGGTAAATTGTATTTCTCCTGTGCACTGCTTCTCACCCAGTTGAGCCCAGGGATCATACCCCAGCCTCTCCAGGGACCTCCGTCGCGACGGAGGCGTCAGTCTGGGAAGAGGAAACCACAGACTATTTTGGATTATCGGAGGATGAGGATTTGCCTCCCGATAAGCCCGCCTTTACAGGCATTTTCAAGCCGTCCCTGTTCAAAGCCATTTTACATAACGCCAGATCCTCCACTGAACTTGCCCCTACTACTACTAAGGGTATGGAAGTACCTTCTACTTCACAGGACCACAAGCAGTGCGTTTTCAAGGAAGATGCGCCAGCTCAGGAGCTGATTCCAGTCCCTGACTTGTTCATGGACGTTGTCCAGCACCAATAGGCGCAGCCTGGCACATTGGCTAACCCCAGTGAGAGGGACAAAACTAGTATTCTCTGGAAGCCAGGATGGAGGATACCTTGAAGTTACCAGAGGTGGATGCCCCGGTTGTCTCATTGACGTTCAACTCGACCCTGCCAGCAGATCTCCTGGAGGAACTCAAGGCAGGGGACAAAAGGACGGAAAGAGCCTGCCATAAGATGCACCAGGCGGCCACCTGGGCCATCAAGGCATCCACCTCTGCGTCCTTCTTCATGAGGTCATCCCTACTTTGGTTACGCCAATTGATATCTAAACCTCCCTCGGAGGGATCTCAGTGGCGCCATGTCATTATTAAGATCATAACTGCGGTGGAATACTCCGCAGATGCGTCTTTAAATGCGCAAAGTTTGCCTCGGGCACTCGTAACATCAAATGTTACTTCATGCCGCCTGCTGTGGCTTCGTCACTGGCAGCTGGATATGAAGGCCAAATGAAAGGGAGGGCAGCTCTTTAGACAAATTATTAATAGAAACAAAGGACAAGAGAAAGTTCCTTCCGGCAACTCTCAAGAAAAATGAGCACAAGGGGTCTGGTTCTTTCAGGAAGCCATTTCGAATCCAAGACAGTACACAGGCATCTTCCTCTTATTTTTACCAGAGGTCCTACCCCCAGTTTAGCGACAGGAATCAGGACAGGAATTCCTTCAGGCCCCGGGGTCGATAGCAACAGGGCTCCTTTCGGAAGCCCTTTCACGGCGGTTCCAACGGCTGCCAATTCAACGCACCAAGTGATCAGCAGGGCAACCCTCCCATAGGTGGTTGGTTACAACTTTATGACGACCAGTTAGAGAAAATCACCACGGACACGTGGATCCTCAATACCATCATGAGGGGTCTAGTCCTAGATTTTCTCATGTTTCCCCCGCGAACATTTATTCGCTGCCCCCTCCCCAAGAACCCCCTCAAGAGGTCCCTCATGCAAGCAGAGATTTGTCACCTTCTGCAAATAAGGGCCATAGAGCCAGTTCCAACAGACCAGGAAGGGAGGGGATTCTATTCCATTCTTTTCCTGGTCCCCAAGAGCTCAGGGGGGTGGAGGGCCATCTTGGATTTGAAGCGCCTAAATCAACATCTGGCCTACAAGCGCTTCAAGATGAAGTCCCTCCAGTCCATCCCGGACTGCATAAGGCAGGGAGACCTGCTAACCTCCATAGACTTAAAGGAAGCGTACCTGCACATGCCATCCATGTGTCATACAGAAGGTTCCTGTGGTTCCATTACAACGGAAGGCATTACCAGTACAGGGCTCTCCCCTTCGGCCTCGCGTCAGGGTCCAGGACCTTCACAAAGCTTCTGACAACAATAGCGGCTCATCTCCATGCACGTCTGATATGCCTGGAATGTTACCTGGACGACATCATTATTCAGTCTTCAAGTTGCGACCAGGCCCTGAGGGACATCCAGATTAACATTCGAACACTAGAAAGACATGGCTTTTCGGTGAAGTCATCTCGAGCCGACCACGTGCATTCAACACCTCAGTACCATCGTGGACTTGATATCTTGCCAGGTGTTCCTTTCTCCAGACCGTCTACGCGATCTCAGGAACAGAATTCGTCTGTGCAGACGGACCAGACCAATACTGATTGTCCAACTTTCGCAACTACTCGGCATCATGATTTCTTGCCTGAAGACAGTTCCTTGGGCACGCCTTCATGCCAGGAAACTACAGTGGTTCCTCCTGTCAATGCAATGGTCAAAACACAGCAATTCTCCCAGAAGGATTCCGCTTCCTCAGAAGGTACGCTGGTCCCTCAGAAAGTATGCCGCTCCCTCAGATTGTGGCACTCGACGGCAGTCACAGTACCCGACAGAATTGTGGTCACATCTGATGCCAGCCTCTACGGACGGGGAGTGCATTGCCAAGGGCAGATGACACAAGGCAGATGGTCACAGAGGGAGGCAGCTCAAAGCATAAATTGGCTGGAGCTGAGAGCGGCCAGGCTCACCCTCCAACGGTTCTCGTCACAGATTGTGGGTCGCCATGTACTGTTACTTACAGACAACATTGCAACAAAGGCCCACGTGAACCAGCAGGGTGGCATCCACTCTAGGAGGTTCATGACAGAGGTCAAGTCTCTGGGAAGATGGGCGAAGCATCACCTAGTGTCCGGGACAAGCAACATGAGGGCAAATTGGCTGAGCCAACAGACAATCGACAACTCCGAGTGGCGTCTGCGTCCTGCTCTGTTCGAGCAGATAGTTTGGAGGTTCGGCCAAGTCGCAAGTCGATCTATTCACCACTTAGATCAACACGCACCTGCCAAGGTTCTACTCACGTTACCACTCGCCCCAGGTGGAAGGGACGGATGCTCTGAGGTGCAAGTGGCCCTCAGGACTACTCTATGCATTTCCGCTCCTACCGCTCATTCTGCAGGTGATTGCCAAGCTTCTAGCGGAGAAGGCGGAGATCCTCCTTGTAGCTCTGCATTGGCCCAAGAGGTCCTGGTATGCGGATCTTGTCAGTCTTTCCCTCCGGAAATCGTGGAGAATTCCTCAGGAGCAAATCTCCCTCAGCCAGAGAGCTGTCAGCCACCTGGATTCTTGGTGGCTGCAATTAGCCATTTGGCACTTGAGGGGGAACTCCTGAGGAAGCAAAATCTTTCTGACAAGGTCATCCAGACCATCCAAGCATCCAGAAGACCATCCATGACATGCATTTACGACGCGACCTGGGTCGCCTTTTCGGGCTAGTGCAAGGAGCGTGGTATCAGTGACGTATCAGCATCCATACCTCAACTGTTGGACTTCCTTCAGGATGGTTTGGACAAAGTTCTGGCGCCAAACACTCTCCGTCACCAGATTGCAGCCTTGTCCACCATCCTGGCAAGAAACAGCTCTCGTTCCCTGAGTCAACATCCTCAGGTCAAGAGCTTTCTGAAGGGCGCATCCAACATATGTCCTCCAACGGTACATAAATACCCTTCCTGAAACTTATCTTATGTTCTGCAAGCCTTGACAAGCGCACCCTTCGAACCCATTCAAACTGCCGATCTCCGTCACTTGACTCTCAAGACTGCCTTCCTCGTGGCAATTACTTCTGCTAGGAGGGTTTCAGAGCTTGCGGCTTTCTCTGTCAGGGTGGAATTGTGTGTAATTCATAACAGTCATTCTACAACTGGATCCCACCTTTATACCGAAAGTGAACACTCACTTCCACAGACCCAAGCATCCTAAGGAGTGCTCCTGGCATAAGCTGGACGTTCGGAGAGCCATCCGTATCTATGTTAAAAGGACCAAGGAATTCAGACGCTCTGAATCGTTCTTTATTTCTTTTCAGCTTGGTTCGCTGGGACGAAAGATTTCCTCCTCGACCATTGGACCGTTGGCTGCGGGCGTGCATTAAAATGGCCTATAAACACCATGTCAGGGCCATGCCGGGTTGAGTGACGGCACACTCCACAAGGAGTGCTGCTACTATAGCAGTGTGGGCGACCCAGGCGTCCATCATTGACATTTGCAGAGCAGCTCTGTGGGTGTCCCCCACAGAATTCATCAGGAATTACAAAATTAATACCTTTGCCTCCGCTGAAGCCTTCTTTGGCAGACATGTTTTGCAACAGGTAGCCTTGGCTATGGATATTCTGGACACTAACTCTTCCCTCCTTGGGACACAATAGGTGGGTATGTCCCATGCTTGGACTCTCCAAGCAGCGCACAGGAGAATGACCGTTGGCTTACCTGAACGGTCGTTCTCTGGGTGCTGCGGGAGAGTCCAAACCCACTCAGCGTCTAACAAGGTGTTCAAAACTCTTTATTTCTAATTTGACTATTGGACAGGTGTCCTGCAACGGATAAGACCTTCATTTTTAAACTGTCTTTTTTTCCCTCTTTTTTCCTCTCTTTTTTTGTAAGCCGCCCGGAGTCCTTCGGGATTGGGCAGCATATAAATTTTGATAATAAATAAATAAATAAATAAATCTCAATGAGACAAAGGGAGGCATGGTCAAAGAAAAATCTACTCAGTCCTAGAGCAGATAGACTGTGTTTAACCCATGCTTGGACTCTCCCGAAGCGCCCAGAGAACGACCGTTCAGGTAAGCCAACAATCATTTTCCACATAGTTGTAAATTTACTTAGAGTAAAATGTCAATTGAACAGATTCCTCATTTAGCAGACTTCAGAATACAGTAGGCAAAATCTGCATGCAGACATCAACTCAAAATAATGAACAACATTTCTTGTATCTGATTTACTCTGAAGGCTAAGTAACTAAGTAAGGTCAATTACATCTTTTAACATTAGCATTTTGCATCAACATGTTCTAATATAATTCATTAATGCCATAAATTCAGGTTTAATATTTGAGATTTATTTATGATATCTTGATGAAATCAGTTTGTTCTCAACAGCTGGAAACCATATTGATATTCATTGTGACACCCAAAAAGCTAACTATAATAAAACTTAATCTTCCCTTTCCCTTTTCCTTTCCTTTCCTTTCCTTTCCTTTCCTTCCAGAGGGATGCAGTAGACTTTAATGTTCATGTGGACACACAAGATCAAGGAATGTATCGTTTTTTAACATCACAGCAGCTTTTCAAACTCCTGGATTGTTTATTAGAATCTCATAAATTTGCTAAGGCTTTCAACTCAAATAATGAGCAAAGAACTGCACTTTGGAAAGCAGGTAAGTCTTTCTTGCTAATTTTAAAGACTTTAAATGATGAATGTTACAGAAAAATACTATTCCGGTAGTCCTCAGCTTACAACAGAAATTAGGACTTGATTTTCCATCACTAAGCAAGTGTTGTCGTAAAATGTAACCTAAGTTGACCACATTGCTTAACGACAGTCCGATAGTCACAATTGCCATTATTATTCCAGTAACATGCAATTTGTTATGAGAAGAGATGAGACTCCAGATAAGCAGCTGCATGTGAGAGCACAGGCAGTTGCAAGTAGAAGGTAGAAAGGATAGGTTGGTGAAAAAGTGGCAGGAATAACTTCCAACTTCCTGTTGGCTTCTGCATTGTCTTTGCTTGTGGGAAGTCAGTCTGGACATTGTAATCATGTGGCTAGAACTTGCTGCAACATTGTAATTATAAACTGGGCACTGAGGACACAGCTGTCACTCACATGATTCCAGAGATACTGCGATAGCCAGAATTCTGAAGACTGATGGTAAATCTTTCTCATTTACTGCCATCATAACTTTGAACAGTAGCTAAACAAATGGTTTTACATTGAAGTCTACTTGTACAGTAAGTTATTTTAATGTGGCATAGTAAAATTATAGATGAAAAACAGCAATAGCTTCAAGTTGTACTGATAACAGAAACATTTCATCTTGTCTTGACATCTGTAACCCATATTTTTTATTCTGAAAGTTTTAGAGGAATATGAATTTTGGATTTGCCTTTGTTGTTCACTCATCATTTCTTCAATGACTATGATTCAATAATTCATTTATTTAAATAGTTAAATATTTTCAGATGGGTAACCATAATTTGTAACAACAAAAATTATATATAAATACTGAATGTTGTGCTGTATCACTAGCATTTTTCATCACATGTGCATGCATTAAATTTTGAGATTCCATAGCCCCAAAATGGATGTGAGGGAAGAGGGGTCTGTTCATTCACAACATAGTTGCACCCATTCATATAACCAATCACAGAACTTCTATTTAACAAATGGCAGTGTTTCTTTGTTCTTTTTAATTTACAAAATGTATTGTTTGGTGAGCAGGAACAAAGCAGGCATTAAGAGACATGCTAGGAAAAGAGAGGATGATGACTACAATTAGACATGAATTTCTGCTGCTGAGTGATGCAGCGTGACATATGGCTACATCACTTAGCAACAGCAATCCTAACAGGCCCAGTTGCTATCGTAATTCAAGATGTCCTATTCACTAACAGAGAAGCAGAGGAAGTCCCAGATAAAGAGTGCAGAGGTGCCATGGTGTGTGTGTGTGTGAGAGAGAGAGAGAGGGAGAGGGGCCCTGGGAGGCCTAACATCGGCCACATTGAGTTGGGACGGGAGTGCTGTATTTAACCACCATTGTTCAATTGAAGTTAGTGAGTTCTGGAAGGCCAGGGAAAGAGAATACAGGGTGTGCTTATAGATAGAGACAAGAAAGAATATACTGTGGCTCAGGAGAGCTTCTTGATCCACTGCAACTCTGGGCCTTAAGAATCCCTTGAGTTACAGTGTGGTGCAAAGCCACCATGACCCAGAAAGTCCCAACCACCCTGGCCTGGCACAAAGCTGCTGCACCATATGGAGTAAAACATTTTGCTTAAAAAGATGATATTAATTCAAATCCAACTCCCACTCCTGTAGAATTTTAGAAGCATCCTGATTAGGGAATCTGAATAGCCTATGCAATAGCCATTTTTGTCCATTTTTTTTTTATTCAAGTGCTGATTTTTAGATAGTCAATAAAATCTAAATAACAGATATTGTTTTGGCAGGTTTCAAAGGGAAATCGAAGCCTAATCTTTTAAAACAGGAGACTAGCAGTCTTGCCTGTGGGTTACGTATACTATTCCGCATGTACATGGATGAGAGTCGCAAAGATGCCTGGGAAGAAGTGCAACAACGATTACTAAAGTATGGCTTGTTCATAGCTTTTACCTGGTTTCATAACAGTAGTTAAAAATTTAAAAACATACTGAATTGATTAATTTTCAGAAATTAACCTCATGACACAGATGATTCCATTTAGCAAAGTTCTTCAAAAGAAGAATCTTGGAAAGACAGTAAAAGAAAGAACCAATAAGTCATTGTCTATCAGCATTTCTCTAGATCTAACTTTTTGCTTATTGGGAATATTTTCTATTATTGCTGTTCAGTGGTTCAGTAAACAGGCCTATGATCTCACTCCTTCCTTCTCCTTTTACTACTTACCAATATCTGAAAAATTGACTGCCAGCTGTAAGCATCTTTGAGATGAGACCATCCATTCAGTAATCAGTGAAACAATCCATTGCAGCTGCTCCTTGACAGCTTTACAATATGCTGAAGTGTTTTGTCTAACTTTTAAGTATACTTGGGCTTACTGATGTTCCTTTTAATGTGTTGGTGTAGGATGTGATTATTGAATTATCTTTCTGAATATGCAGTTTTTCTGATAAGGATTCTGTTTTGAAAATAAGCAACTAAACTTTGGTTTTATGTTGCATGTTGCTTGTAGTGTCTGCAGGGAAGCTCTCAGCTACTTCCTCACTTTGACCTCAGAGAGTCACCGGGAAGCTTGGACAAGCCTGTTACTTTTATTCTTAACAAAGGTTCTGAAGATAAGTGATGATCGGGTAAGTAAGCATTCTGAATAGTTAAGGATTGAGCCCAGGTTTTTTTCTTTACAAACAACATATCCTAATTGTAATAAACCAGTTTTAGGATAGATTCCCTTCCATTGTTGAGGAATAAAAACATTCCAATCCATTCATGTCATATTGCCATTTGCCTTTTTCACCCTTTTCTGGTATCAGTACTTCAGTGCCAATAAGACCATGAACATTTGTTCCTTCAGAAAATGGGATGAGGAATCTGACACCTAGATAATTTTTATTGTAATGTTTGAATTAGTGCATTTACTCGTTCAAAAACTTAATAGAATTTTTTTTCCCTTAGTTCAAAGCTCATGCATCTTTCTACTATCCACTTTTGTGTGAAATAATGCAATTTGATCTGATTCCTGAACTCCGGGCTGTTTTGAGAAGATTTTTTCTACGAATTGGAGTTGTTTTCCAAATATCTCAGCCAGCAGATCAAGAGGAAGATGTAGCCAAGCAGTAGAAGTATAACTAAAGAAACTAAGAACCAAATCAACTTGCACTGGATGTTCATGATGAGGGTCTCTATATGGCAGTGTGGGCATCTATAGGTTCACAGTATAGAGTAAAGCTGTAACTTAGGCTTGCAAAACTTTTAATTCTCCAGTGGATTTTTCTTCTTCCCTTTCCTGGCTTGTGCTGAGCATTGAGCCAGTTTTAAACAGTCTTATTGTCAGCTTGGACTGTGATGTCCTCTTATTCAGACATGCATACATATTATGTGTATGTGTATGCGTGTGTATATTTATGATGGCTGTGAACTTAAGATATGTACCCAAAGAACTAACACTTAAAAAGTTTGAACTTCCATAGAGTTCAACTCAGGAGAACTGTATTTGAAAGAATGGTTTGTACTGAGAGCACAGGAAAACACTAGTTAAGAGATCTAGCAATTTTATGGAATTCTTATTCTGAAAAAAAATCTGCACACTCAAGCTGAGATATAGGTAATCATTCTTCAGTGAAAAAACTGAAAAGAGTGCAGGTCTGTAATATAAAATTACAAACACTATATAGTTCTTCCTGCATTCTTTTATGATTTCATAGAAACCCATACATTTGTTTACCAAATGCACTAGTCTGAGTTTATGTTGTGATTGATTTGATCTGTATCCTAAAAGTTAGTCCTGCTAACTTTAATGAAGGGCAGAGATTGAAAAAGTCACAACTGGCTTAACTGTTTGTAATATACCTGTGATAGGGCTTTTAAATATAATAAGCCATTGCAACGATCCTTCTGGGCTGGAACTTGAATCACTGCAAATGAGTCTAGGTTTTATCTTATGTCACCTTTCGGGGGTGGGGTGGGGTTGTTTGATGTAGATTTCACTCTGTGTACAGAATGTAATGTTAAATATATTCAAGTAACAAATCTGGCATGGTTTAGGGATGGTTTTAAATTTATTGGAAATGTATTCATACTGTGAATTGTGCTCTGATGGTTAAAGAAAAGATTGTCAAGCATTCTGTCTTACAGTGGATGTAGAAAATTTTTTCAGATGGAAAAATGTATATGGTACAGCTCTGTAAAGTTTTCTATGTAAATTCTGTACAACTTTCTGTACAATATTGGTTCTCATCTGGCATATTCTAATCAGGTTATAAGTCAATAAAGTTTTTGAATTCTTTCATCGGTGCAATGAAAACCAATGCAATGTAAAACTACTTGTTTTAATGTTTCAAGAAACTTAAAAGTTTAACAATGATGGTTAACAGTGCTGAAGCAAACTGCTTTCAGCATGTTTGCAAGTCATTAAAGAATTTAACTTAAGTATCATTCCTTCTATTTTTCAGTTCAAAATCATCTTATTTTGGAAAATCTGTAGCTAAATCAAGATCTAGGACAGTATTCTGTCTCACATACAGAACTGCAGAACTGAAGGCTGCCTCGAACTGACCCCCATGCAAAAATCTCTCCAATAGCCAGACAAAAAAACAAGACAGGGCCAATACGGCAAATGTTGGATAGTTGATCAAGGGTAGTAGCTTCATCATCCAATAAGTGGCTTGAGCAGAAAAGGCAGGCAGCAGCTTCCCAGCCTGTGATGAGAACAAGACTGCTGGATCTTATAGCTATAGAGTAGCTGTAAATCAAGGATTTCAAATGAGGCAGAAGGGTAAGCCTACTCTGAGAAAATACTATTCCCTTGGGAAAACCAGTGTAGTACATCTCTTTCCTTTTTGCACTAGGCAATTGAGGACAGGAGCTAACTTACAATGAAGTACCAAAGGTGCTTGTTCAAGAGGCAACTGGACTTTCTGGTTTTTCTTTGAAGACGTTTCACTTCTCATCCAAGAAGCTTCTCCAGCTCTGAAGTATTATGAAGTACTTTTTGGACCCCAAATGACTCAATAATCCCTCCCTATTTGGAGGAAAAGGGGTTAGTAACCAATGATGTTGCCAATGACTGACATTATAAATTACTGTATTTTGCTATTATAGCTTCTCTTCTGTTTCCCTGTATATTTGCCTAAAAGCAATTGTTTTTTGTTACAATTAAATGTTCAATAAAGGAGAACTACATCCTGGTGAAGGAAAGGAAAAAGTTATATTTAGGTGATCAGAAAATTCTTCAAGGTATCTTTTTCTACCCATCCAGCCTTCCAGATTTTATAGTTGGGAAACTGATTTCTTGTTGGAAAAGAGTCCATTTTAATGGTATATTACACATACTGTTAAATATTGAATACTATGTAAACATCTTGTTTACACAAAAAGGAACTTGTATTGATAAAGCCCTGCAGCTTTGCCATCAGTAATATTTGTATTTTTTTCCTTCCAAATAAATGTGAAGGGGTTAACAAATCAACAAATTTGTACTACACTTAATACAGTTCAGACAGAATTTAGTTCCATAATGAAATTCAATGAACATGCCATTTCTACTGCAATGAAAAAGAAGCATCAAGAAAACTCCAGAGCTTTAATTATTAAAGACAATTTATTCATTTCACAAAATATCCATCTTCACAAATACTTCATTAGAATCATGATAAAAATATAATTTTTGTCATCTTAAGTCATGAACATAAATACATTTATAGAATTCACTATTGACATTTGGGAACACATATATACATATTAAAAAAACAGCATTTTAGAACAAATGATTGGATAAAATTTGTGGGCTAGAAGTAAAGCAGCAATGAATTTAAATTCTGGGTAGTCCCTAAACGTCTATTGCATGTCTAAGAACAATAAGCCACAGTATTTTATTTGATTACATTCAGGTCATATTTCTCAAATCTTGCAGAAGTCTTGAGGTACTTTTTCAGAGAAAAATAATAACCCAAAAATAAATTTTGCCTCAGTACCATTAAATGTACTCTAAATTATATGTTTAGCTATACTCTGAAGCTGTCATGAAAATTTACTGTGGTAATATATTTCCAAATTTAGAGGTTATCAGTAATGTATCAATAATTAAACAAAGTAGGAATTGTTTTCACAATCAAGTATGAATATAAAAGTGCAATAGTGAAACTTTTGAAAGGCACAAACAGCTTTAAAACAAGTTTATTTAGCCATGGGCAGTTGACAGCCCCTGCCAATTGAATGTTATGCTCTTCTCAGAAGTTGGTTTAGCTTGACTTGACTGCTCAGCCATGAGTCTTCTAAGAGTTTCTGAAGTCCCGGGTCTAAGCCATGGCTCAGTTGCCACAGAATCAATCGAACTGGATCTTCTGCCATCTCTAGGAAGTAATTCCTTCAGGATGTCGTCACCATTCCCCAATGAAATGTCATCAGCTTGAGGAAAACAAATAAATGTTAATATATGAAGTCATACTTCGTATCCTACCATATATTTCAGTGACCAAATTATTCATTCTTCAGTATTACAGAGGACTTCTGTGGAATAAAAATGCAGCAAGATCAGCACAACTTGCCCAATTGGGGTACTTCAGATTTTCAGTATTTCCTTATTCTGGAGTGACTGGTCAAATAATGCTACTTGACACAGAAGGATGGGAAATGGCGTTTCTAAGGTAAGTATGAAGGTGATCAAAACCAACTGCATACTAGGCCTTAAAACAGCACTGGAGGATCCAACTCCCCTTTTTGCCATATTTCTTACATACACCTGTATGCAAAACTTCAGGCACTCCTGGTCACATAGGGACTTCATGATCAATTTGGAAAATTATTTCAAGGTTGACTTGCTGAAATAACCAATCTTTCTTTAGGTTTCAATTACTTGCTGACTATGGTGAAGACTAAGAAAAAAATTCTGCTAGAATGGCCTGAAAACTAGTCAGATGTACAAAACAGAAATCAGGAGTCACCATAAATGACCTACTGACATTTAGTTGACATTGGTGTCCCTATCCATAGAAGAACATTATTTATACAATAATGATTTTGCATGGGAGAATTATCAAAACAGCACTTTTCTTCAATGTCATCATAAAAGTCAACATCTCAGGTATGCAAAAGAAAACTTACAAATCTTCACTCTTTTGACACAGAAGTTTTTGGCCACAACAACGTAAGACACTTTTAGAAAAAACAAGATGAAGCATTTGAAGAAAAAATACCTTGCCAACAAAATATATAGGAGGCTCTATGATGCTCAGGGATTGTACAGCAGCCAAGGGTACAAGAAATATTATATGCATGGAGGGAAGAATAGATTTATCTATATATAAAGGTATCTATATAAAACAAATTAGTACTAACTAATAAATTACTAAAAGTGTAAAATTAAAAGATAATTAACCCCAGGCAAACAAAAATCTGCATATGCATCAAACTGGATACTTTTCCAGTCCTTTCTAAAACATATAGGTGGAGGTTCGGAGCACCAATCTGTGTATACGAAAGACAAGTATCACATTTGAGTATTTTTGGGTCTATGGTTTCATATCTAATTCAAAAAGAGGGATGAATAAATTAATTTTAATCAAGCCAATCAATAAAAACAGTCAAACTACAATAAAGATTCTTCTTGAAATTGCAGCTTCAGTAATAAATAATTATGTCAAATTTGAAAATAGGTCCAACTCAATATAGACTCTTAGGAGGTTTTAAGACTCTATACTATACAGAATTTCACCTAGGAGCAATATATACCACTGAGGTTCCAAAGAAAGAATAATTTTCTTGGTTTGCAGAAGCTGTTTTTTTTTTTAAATGATTGAAAAAATCAAATGTTTGAATAGCACATGGTAGCATTCACCAAAGAAAAGCTTCTCTATGCACCCAGAAGAGCTTCTCTATGAACACAAATCTTTTTTGGCATTTGCTGCATTGAGAAACTGGAATTCAAAAAGGATCTTCAAATATCTATGAGTCTATCTAAAAGATAACTAAAAGAAACTAAATTTTGTCAGTTACTCACCCTGACTATCACTTCCTTTCTACAAAGAAAATGTCAAAAATCAGTCCAGATTTTGGTGATGGAATATGCTAACCTATCAAGAAAGAATATATGATATTTGCAGGAAAATCTTTTTCAACATCTCATTGGTTTCTTTATGGTGATAGTACCTGCTATATAATGCTTCCTGGTGAAGGGAAATTTCAACACATTTGTAGACTGCATAAAGCGGGGTGGGGAGATCAAAATTATCTTGGAAGAATGGTAAGCCTGGCTCAGAAAAATCCCAGTTGAAATTTCAAATAAAGACATACAAATTTGAGAAAAGCCAATTTGCATTCTGACTGGAGGAGGATAGTCAGGAAATTTAAAGAACAAGTTAAGTCACGGGTGTCAAACTCGCCATGTTACATTGATGTCATGCAACATATCACGAAAGTTTTTGCATTCGCTGTGCTGGGGTGGGCATGGCCTGCGTGTGATGCATCCAGCCCATGTGCAGCCAGTTTGACACCCCTGAATTAAGTAGTTAAGGCTAGTTTCAATGCAATCAATGATAAGTTGATTATAAATCAGATGCATGCTGCAACAAAGGGTTAAGATGATGTTTACTGATTGATCACAGAATTCCAGTGAGAAATTCAATTTATAATTCCACTAATGGTAGTCCAGAAAAGGAGGCAATTCTACTGATTGTATGCATCCTATATATTCTGCATCATTAGTCTTTCTATTCCTCAAAACTTCAGATCGAATTGCACAAGTGTATGGCTATCTCATAACAATTATTAGCATTCATCAGAGCCAGTTAGCTTTTCTCAAGTTGGCCACTGAAGTAGTTCCAAAACTGTACTACTGCTGGCATTCTATATAATGGAATGTGGCAATGTCCTTGGAAAAGAGGAAGAGCCTGTTTTTCAGCCTACAGTGTGAGAAACAAAATTTGAGTCTGACGGAAGAGGAGTGGTGAAAGCATCTCAGAAGGGACTCTTCCTGCTTTTGGGGAGAATAACAATGAACATAGGTAGGATTACTTTTATGCTTGTAAGATTGATGTCAGCTTTGCAACGTAGTCTAGACAAGAAACATAACCAGGAGTACTAGATCTGTCTTTATTAGCAATAGCAATAGCATTTAAATCTACAATATGTACTGCTCCATAGTGCTTTACAGCACTAAGCAATTTACTGTTCAACATATTGTCTCAAACAATCTGGGTCCTCATTTTACTGACCTTGAAGGGATGGAAGGCTGAGTCAATCTTGAGCTGGTCAAAATCAGACTCCTGGCTGTAGGGCAGAGTTAGCCTGCAATACCGCATTCTAATCACTGTGCAACCACGGTGGTGGTAGTAGTAATATTGCAGTATTACAAGATTATTAGAGGATTACATTAACAGAATCTGCAAGTTTGGAAATACTCCTTATTTACTTCACTTTTAGGCTCCCCAAAATTAGGGACAGTTATCCATTATATAGACTGCAGCTCTTCCCCCATGCCCCAAGGTGATTCCTACATACCCTTACATCCTGTTCTTTTCCCCTGATCCTTGTCCTTTCCTTTTTTTATTCGTGCACTTATTGTAAAAACAAAAGCAAACAGCCCTGTGCCAGGTCATAAGTGTCTGGGAAACCAAGTATGAGCCAGCTAAGGTTGGCAGTCTGACATCTATAATCTCAAATTGAAAAATTAAAGGTAAAGGCTGCAAAGCTGAAGAAAAGATGCTCATTGAAATCCCTCCACATAGTATCATAGTAGAGGCCATACTCAAATTCTGTATCGAAATGTTATCAGAACATGTTCTAAATGTGGATTGTATCCAACTCTGAGCATCATACTTTGAGGGGGTTAGCATTAAAATATATGACTGGTATAAATACAACAACATACAATACAGCCATACAACAACAAAATTGATGGGATTGGGTGTCTCTTGCCTCAAGAAGAAAAGGACTGAAGGAAAATATGGTGATACTACTCTTCATAGCATTTAAATATCTTATGCATAAGACTGAAATATTTGTGTATGGTGATCTAGAAGTGAAGACTCAGTCTAATAAGATTAAATTAAGGAAAATATATTTCAGATGATGACTATTAAGAACAGTAACAGTAACAGCAAGGTGGCAATGAAATCAATAACTGGGAGAGACTCTCCCTCACTGGAAGCCTCTACCTTTAAATTACCTTCATACAATTAGACTTAAAGACCTCTTAAAATTCGGTAGGTCTGTCTGTGATATAAATATAGGACTACATTCAAATGAATCCAACAGTGAAAGGAGGCTACAACTAACTTGTTGCCTAAATTGATCTGCAGCTACCTGTTTTTTTCTGCTTTAGTCGTTTCTTCTTTTAATTACAAGGCTACAAAGAAAATCCAGAGCAATTACCCCCACCCACACCATTCCATTTTATATGTTAATGCACTTGCGTATGTTAAAAATCTGAATGTGGGAAGGAAGAGTAATGCAATGCAGCACTCTTGTGTTCTGTGCAGTTTAGCCTTGGTAGCACATTAGCCATGTATTCTGGGTGTGCAGTATATATGAAATACTTTGCCCTTGGCTAGCATTTCCCATCCAATGGGTACCAACTGTGCAGGTCATCTTCCAAGAATCCATGGCTAGTTTCTAGTTTCTCAATAATTTCTGAGAATCCTACAAGATGAGCTGCAAATATCTGAAAGCTACCAAGTTTGGGAAAAGTTAATCTAGATAAAGTTTGCTCACACTGTATTAATCAGTTCTTCCAAATCTAACAAAATGTTTAATTCTTCAATAATTTCTGTCCTAACATTCAATAAAGCGATCATACCTATATGAGCGGCATTCTTATGTAGTTCATTTAATCTTTGCAGTCTTTCTTCATTTCTGACTTTTAATTGATCTATATTGAGACTAGAATTTGAGTGGAGAGAGCTGTTGTCCAATTGTGGTGGTGGAGTCACCCTATAAAAAGCATCATCCTGAAGATACAGAGAATTTGATTGAATTATTATGAAATGCTTATCAAGTCAACATTACTGGAATTGCCAAAATAATCAAAAATTTGCACATCACACAGAAATATTATAAAGAAAATGCTAGTTACTTCATCAGGAGAGGGAGGGAGGGAGGAAGAATGAGAATGAATTTAATTGAATAAGGTGTATTAAAATAAACAGTTGGTAGAATTTTACTTCAACAAGACTTAGGTGCACAAAGCACCAATGGGGAAAAAATCCAATAAATTCCTTTACCTTCTTCTCTCTCCTTCTTTCTCTTGCCGATACAGGGGGTGAAGGAGTTGTATAGTAGTGATGCTCTTCTAAAATTGGATAAGTTTCACCATCCGTATCTAGGAGAAGCAAGTGTCAAAAATATAAGTTCATACTGGATTTTTAAGCAATAGTGAAATTGTAAAGCTAGTTTTTGAACTATATTAGTTAACCATAAAAGGTAATCCTGAACTTACGACCATTAATTTAGTGATCATTCAAAGTTGTAATGGCACTGAAAAAATGACTTATGACCATTTTTCACACTTACAACCATTTCAGCACCCCTATGCTCATGTGATCAAAATTTGGATGCTTGGCAACTGGTTCATATCTAGGATGATTGCAGTGTCCTGAGGTCCTGTGATCACCTTTTGTGACCTTAAGCAAAGTCAATGAGGAAGCCAGATTCACTTAACAACAGCAGTGATTCACAACAACTGTGGGAAGAAAGGTCATAAAATGGTCTAAAACTCACTTAACAATTGTCTTACTTACCAACAGAAATGTTGGGTTCAATTGTGGTCATAAGTTGAGGACTACTGTATTATGAAAAAAACTAGACCGAAAAAGTCTCCAGTAGCTTCATTCATTGAAGAGCTGTAATTTAGAAGATGCTTCAACACACTACATTCAAACTGCTATCGCTATACCTCCAAATAATGGAAAACTATTAAATGTATCAATAGAAACTCAAAAAACTGAAATATCTGACAATCAATTGATTTTATTCCTACAAATATAGGATGATATATGCCTTTCAAACAAACAATAAATATTAGCTGTAACTAAAATGCTGCATAAACCTGAAGGGAATGCAGCAACACATACAAGATAGCTCTTCTTGATAAGTAGTCTGTCAAATATAAAAATACTAAAAAGATAAATTCACCAATAAAAGCACTCTCAGATTCCAGGAGTGATGTTTTCATAAGTCCATCTGAGTCTGCATCTCTAATCTACAAATGAAAAGCAACAGAAAACTCAAGTCAAATCAACAGTCTATTTTGTTTAACATTGATAATAGTTTTCTATTATTCCTACTTGTTCCTATAATAGCCTTCCAATATAGTAAGTCAAGCTCCAGTAATCTGGATCTTGACTTAATATATTACTGAATAAATGTAATGCAGTACTGAAAAGTTACCTTTTAAAAAGCAAGCCACAATTTCATTTCCATATATCTTTCATTTTGCACGTATTTAATCTACTCTGAAAATAACTATTCATTCAGAATAGATTTTACTAAGTGAAGGAATAAAATAAAGTTCCAATGAATCACAGCAAAGATGTATTTATCCAATCAACAAGATGCCTCTGTGCAGCCACAAGCAGGGTGGAAGTGCGATAGAATCTGTACAGGTTCACTTGGCACTGAAGGAGGAAAAACCCTAATAGTGAAGTCAATTAATAACTATCAAGACTACTAGCCAGTAGTCATGTACCCCTTTTAAAGGATTAATTTATCTAATCTCTTCTCTAATTGGCAACTATCCTGTTTTGTAATAAATTTCAATTTAACTACAAACAGTTAAAGAGCTACTTTCTTTTCATTACCATTCTAGGCACACACAACACTGAAATCCAGTATAGCGAGAATGATTTCTATCTTATTTCTCTAATATTATAATGTAATCTTTTTCTGTGTCTCCTTATTAAAAGTAAAATTTCATTTCAGCTGAACTCAATGTGTTATGAATATCTCTCTTTGGTTTTCTTGGAAACAATTTGGAAGTGAACTTTCAGTGCCTTTCAATAGTTGAAACTTTCCTAACAATGGATCTACTTCAATGGATCATTTTGGTTCTCCTTTGTGCAGCTTTTCCTACTCTACTATTTTTATTTCAACGTGAGATATCTTTAATTTTCTATGTGTCAGCTTATCTGATATTCACATCTCCAGTTTGCAAAAAATACAAAATAATGATATCAATTATGATCAAATTCATTTTGATCAAATATAAGAGTTAAACATATCCAACTCTCATTACTGAGGAAACATTTTAACATTTTAAAATTGTTTTTTAAAAGATAACTAAAGATCCTTTAGAATACTCTTCCAGGTTTCAGCCTTCAAATTACAGTGAAATGTGTAAGAATGACACAACTATTCAATACTGTTAATAAGTGTTCACGATATAAATCCCAGCCCACACTGACCTCACTGTTGCTTTTCAAAGGCACTGTTTACCGAAGCCTTTGAAAATTATACATGCAACCCATGATACCACCTTAACTTAGACAAATTAGATACCCATTAAAGAAGTCATAGAGACAACTAGGTGGGACCTGCACAGAAAAACCTAGCACTATAATCCTCATTAAAAAAAGTGAAATCTCTAATGAAACTGAATATAAAAGGCAAAAGTTCAAGGAATATAAATTAGTACATGTGCACAAAATTATTATTTCCAACAAGGAATAAAAAAAAATGAGTAAGTTTATTGTATTGTTACTCACCAATCCTTTGTCTCTTGGTCTGATGCTAGATACCGGCTCATCAAAATCTAGGGAACCTAATAAAGCAAATATATTGATAAGAAAAATAGAATTAAAAACCAAAGGACCCTGACAGTGTTCCATAACACTAGAATTCAGGAATGTAATAAATATTATCAAAGCCATGCATTCAAAATCACACCAACAGCAGGAGAATTTTACTGAGAAATGGTAATGTTAATTATTAAAATAACATGCTAATAAACAAAAATTGATAATGAAACAGGAATAAAGTAGAAAATTTAATGTTATCACCAAATCCTGTAATTTATTAGACATTTATTGAGGAAATTATGTACAAATAGGATTTTCCTTTTTAATTCCTTTTTAAATAAGTTATTGATCAATATTCAGCCAATTTGCAACCCCCAAAATATGGGTATTGTATTAACATAGTATTTTTACATTTGTTCTGCAACTTTATTAATTTTTTGTACCTTTTTCCCTCGAAAATAAGACTTCCCTGGATAATAAGCCCAATTGGACTTTTGAGCGCATGCGCTAAAATAAGTTCTTTCCCCAAAATAAGCCCTCTCCCTGAAAATATTGCCAAACAGCAGCAGCAGCCATTAGGTGACCACTCTCGCCGCTTCCTGCACCTCAAAAATAATAAGACCTCCCCGAAAATAAGGCTAAGCACTTATTTTGGGGGTCAAAATAAAATAAGGCGCTGTCTTATTTTTGGGGAAACACAGTATTTTGTGCAATTCTATATCACAAGATCTAAAAACCCCAATCAAAGATTCTCTTGTTGTTAATTTTGATATCCCAAAATCATCACCAAGATGGAGTTTCCAGATATCTTTTCATAGAATTTGAATACTGTAACTATGAGGAGCATAGGAAGGTAGGGGAAAACCCACAAGCATCAATGGCAGAAAAATACTGCAGCTATTAGCCGTGATATGACAAAACTCAAAGCTAATAGCAATAGGTATCCACTGATCTTCTATTAAGATAATAAATTGTAGGAGATCATCAGGTTGAGCCCGAAGAAGGGGTCAAACAAGTCATCAATCTTGAGTCCCTTTACGCCACAAGAGATCTAAGTCCAGCCCATCTTGAATTCCATTGACTCTGCCCAAATTAGTTTTGACTGTTAGTAGTTCAGATTCTCATATAGAGCATAAGCTTGCAACAAACCTTTATATTCATTTGAACTGCCTGTGCTTCTGATTTTTCCACGCTTGACATAGTTATATTTGGGGTATAACTGGGTATGTGCAAAGACCAAGATAAAGATTGCAGAGTGAAATTAAAACCATGAAAGATCCACCTAGTTTGAGGAGCCCTAGCTTACCTTCTGCATTTCTCCTCATTTTTTTAAGTTTCTTTTTTTGCTCTCTTAGCAATGCTAGCTGCTGAATGTCCAGACTATCATTATTGGTGGGAGGATCAGGATATAAATGTCTTGTTTCTACTCGTGTATCTGAATCTATAACATAAAATAAAGCATTTAGAAGTCTCATATCGTTTTCTTCAAACATACATAACTCTTTGTAACAGATTTGAACAGAAAAATTTGGCAAGGGGGTAGGGGTGGACTAAATACAAATGATCTATATATTCAATGACTTTATTAAACAATTACTATTTGAGATGATTTGTCTTATCTTTTTATGTGCATTTTCAATTGTGTTAAAAATCATTGGCTACACCAGTGTTTCTCAACCTTGGCAACTTGAAGCATTTGCTGGCTGGGGAATTCTGGGAGTTGAAGTCCAGACATCTTCAAGTTGCCAAGGTTGAGAAACACTGGGCTACACTATGGGCTTTTGCAGGATTTCCTAAACCCTCGGTTAGTTTTTATTTTCTTCAAGTGGCTTCATTTTTTGGTGTGTATGCCTGCTTTGCAAAGTTTGGAGATTTCTTGCTTTTTTATTTATAAGTAGTCCTGTTTGGACTACTTGTTTTTGATAGGTGAAATTAATATTTCGGTTTGTTTTCCTTGTTTACGATTTCAGCCAGCCTATTCTGTTCCTTTCCTTGATCCCAACACTACCCTTCTTTTTTCTTTGTCATCCATCAGGCAATATTCCATACCTACTGTAGTTCCAATTGAACTCTTCGCTGTTTTTTGTTTTGGTTACACTGGGTGTGAGTTATAAAAATATTTTATACTTTGCAAGCTTCAAGTTTCTATTTATGTGCTGATAAATTTTCTCTCTATGTTATTAGCATCACTACATATAGAATAGCTTTTAGAAAACTATGAACACAATTCATGTTTGTTTTTACTGTGGTGTTGTGGCCCAGCAGGAGCCGTTGGAGCTGCCACCAGACTCCGACAGCGAGGGGCCCTATGAGTCGGTTCTGGAGGATGTGGAGGATCCTGGACAGGGTTCCGACTCCGAGCAGGCCACAAAGAGACTGGTTGACCACCAGGTGGCGCCTGAGCCTTGGACCAGTGGGGAGGAGACAAGGGAGAATGATCCAGAAGCCAGCAGTGAGTTGTTCCTGGATGCATGTCATCGAAGAGCTACTAGGCGTCAGGAACAATTATGCAATTACAGGAGATGATTGTATTCAGCTGGTACAGGTTAGGCTACTCTCCAGACTATAAAAGCTACTTGTGCACACGGCCCTCTTTGTAGAAGTCAACGCAGGATTGAATGTTGGAGGACAGTTCTGTGAGTAAAGGCTTGGCTGGATTGCTGCCAAGCCTTATCTGTGTTTATTGCTGCCTGAGTTTGTCTGAGTTGCTGCCAAGGTCTTTATCTGTTTGTTTGCTTGGCTTTCAGCCATCAAGGTTTTGGTGTTTTGCTAATTAAAGTACATTCCAATTAAGCTTGTCTCGGCATTCGTTACTGGACAGAGGAGGGGGTCAGAACACTGTGGTACACACAGAAATGCTGAAAAAATGATTTTGATGCTTGTTGCTTCATTCTTTGACATCATTTCAGAGTTTGTCAACTAACCTTTATATTTAAGTTCATTAAATTCACGGAAATTCTGTAGATTAATAGGATCAGCAATCTCCTTTGAAGATGGTCGCCTTACTGGAGCTTGCATGCGGAGTCTGGCCATTTCAAATACATCCAAATTCTGTTTATCTTTTTTCCTATGAAAGTTACCAAATCATGCAAAAAGATGATCCAAATTTCGAATATATACAAGTTCACTTAAAATCAAAAGAAAATTTAGAATTAAACAGATGATAAAAATGGGTCTAAAACAAAATGAAAAAATGTTCCAATTTTGTGAATTCTAGAAAGCCAGTTATAAAAGACATGGAGAACCCAATTTTTACAATTTACTAATTACAAACACCACATGCAGCAATACCTATGACAATGTGCATTGCCATGCATTATTTTAGGTTTTAGGTTATTTTAGGCAAATAGTTTCCATTAAAGTTTAGCTATTAATGGTAGCTATAAATTAAGAAATACAAATAATCTCCAAGATGAAAAAGTTAAATATATCAAGTATTTCATTAAATAAAGCAGCCAGGGAGGAAACTGTTTAATTATGTCTTGGAAAAACTTGAATCTCCAATCTAAATACAAATGATTAAAAATGAACCAAATTAAGAAATTGCTTAAATCTAGGAATGTCTATTTGAAGCCATCAACACACTGATTGTATCAGTTAGCCCCCGGATGGCAAACCTATGGCACACGTGCCAAAGGTAGCATGCGGAGCCATTTGTTAGGGCATGTGAGGCATTGCCCTGTCAGCTGGCCAGCATGCATGTGTGCGCTGGCCAGCTGACTTTAGCCTTTTTTTGAGGCCATTTTTCACCCTCCCCAAGCTACAGAGGCTTTATAGGAGCCTGGGGAGGGCAATAACAGCCTCCCCTGCCCACCTGGAGGCCCTCCGAAGACTTCAGGAGCTTCCCTGAAGCCTCCGGAGTGCAAAAAAACAGCCCTACGGGCAAACTGGAAGTTCGGGAATGGACTTCCGGTTTGCTCGTAGGGCAGGTTTAAGCCCTCCGGAGCCTTCAGGGCCTTCTTGAGGCTTCCCTGAAGGCTCCAGAGGACGAAAAACGACCCTACGAGTAAACCGGAAGTCACTTCCGGTTTGTCCGTAGGGCCGTTTTTAGTTTTCTGGAGCCTCCAGGGACCTTCAGGATGCTTCCCTGAAGGCTCCAGAGGGCTTAAACTGTCCCTACGAGCAAACCTAAAGTCCGTTCCCGAACTTCCAGTTTGCTCGTAGGGACAGTTTAAGCCCTCTGGAGCCTTCAGGGAAGCATCCTGAAGGTCCCTGGAGGCTCCAGAAAACTAAAAACGGCCCTACGGACAAACCGGAAGTGACTTCCGGTTTACTCGTAGGGTCGTTTTTCGTCCTCTGGAGCCTTCAGGGAAGCATCCTGAAGGTCCCTGGAGGCTCCAGAAAACTAA